GAGAGAGAGAGAGAGAGAGAGAGAGAGAGAGAGAGAGAGAGAGAGAGAGAGAGAGAGAGAGAGAGAGAGAGAGAAGGCACACTGAGGTCTGGAATTGAGCTCACATGAAAACCATTGTCAAGATGCCAGCTCTCAAGAGTGGAACGCGGTCTACCCCGACGCGCTACGACCTGTACCAGGAGGAGCAGGAGGAGGAGGAGGAGGAGGAGAGAGATTAGGAATGAAGGCGCTTGTATCCAACTCTAGAGTCGGTCCAGGTGGTTTTTACGTGAAGAAAAAAGATAAAATGTTAAAAATAACGAATGATGGACAACAAGCCAACAACAACGAGGCGCTTTGAGTGTATTGCGAATATGATGACAAAAAAAAAAACGAGCAGTGTAACAACAACCACCCCGCCCACCTGTTCGTCCCTCTCCTCTGCCGCAGCGTGGCTGCGGCGCGTCCACTTGTTCCTTTAATATAAATAAAGCATCAACTCTTCATTACAGCACCCAGATCCCAAGGCATGCTTTGCACTCACATCCCCAAGAGCAAAAACAAAAAACAAACAAAAAAAAAAAAACGAAGACGAAAAACAAAAACAAAAAATGCAGAAGAAGAAGAAGAAGAATTGAAAAGAGCCAGGCCGATCGCGCAGCGTCAATGCATCAGCGAAAGACATTCATCACCTCAATAGACATAGCTCCTCAAAAAAAAAAAAAAAAGACAGCTCCTCATGAAAAGGCGCACATTCTGCTGGCATATCCCCAGCGCGAGTAACCAACCCGACGGTCCTTTGTGACATCCGTTAAAATTAGAACCATACAGATAGAAAAAAAAAAAAGGACGAGACAGACTATTACCGAGTTAAAATAAGAACCAAAAAGAAGAAGAAGGGCCTCGCTCCACTACTCTCCACCACAAGCACAAACGACAAAACCTATAGCAATGTATCTTTCCATGTTCTAGTGGAAGATTCACTCTCGTTTTGCACACGTCTAGATTCTAGAGTAGTGGCACGAGTCCCGACACAGACTATCACCGCAGTTAAAATTAGAACGATACAGCTTATTAAGAAAAAAAATACAGCCTATTAAAAAAAATAAAAACAAAAACAGACGATACAGACTATTACCGAGTTAAAATAAAACCAAAAAAAAGAAGAAGAAGAAGAAGGGCCTCGCTCCACTACTCTCCACAAGCACAAACGACACAACCTATAGCAATGTATCTTTCCATGTTCTAGCGGAAGATTCACTCTCGTTTTGCGAACGTCTAGAGTCCACTACTCTCCACAAGCACAAACGACACAAAACGTATAGCAATGTATCTTTCCATGTTCTAGCGGAAGATTCACTCTCGTTTTGCGAACGTCTCTTTGCCCGAAGAAGAAGAAAAGAAATTGGG